ACCTTATAGTGCCATCTATCCTCACATGCTCTAAGTCAATGTTCCTTTCGATTTCAATAGATGTCAGCACATGGTTTGTCGTACAAACTCGCGTTCTTTGCTACGGACAAACCTTATAGTGCCATCTATCCTCACATGCTCTAAGTCAATGTTCCTTTCGATTTCAATAGATGTCAGCACATGGTTTGTCGTACAAACTCGCGTTCTTTGCTACGGACAAACCTTATAGTGCCATCTATCCTCACATGCTCTAAGTCAATGTTCCTTTCGATTTCAATAGATGTCAGCACATGGTTTGTCGTACAAACTCGCGTTCTTTGCTACGGACAAACCTTATAGTGCCATCTATCCTCACATGCTCTAAGTCAATGTTCCTTTCGATTTCAATAGATGTCAGCACATGGTTTGTCGTACAAACTCGCGTTCTTTGCTACGGACAAACCTTATAGTGCCATCTATCCTCACATGCTCTAAGTCAATGTTCCTTTCGATTTCAATAGATGTCAGCACATGGTTTGTCGTACAAACTCGCGTTCTTTGCTACGGACAAACCTTATAGTGCCATCTATCCTCGCATGCTCTAAGTCAATGTTCCTTTCGATTTCAATAGATGTCAGCACATGGTTTGTCGTACAACCTCGCGTTCTTTGCTACGGACAAACCCTGTGGTGCCATCTATCCTCGCATGCTCTAAGTCACTGTTCCTTTCGACTTCAATAGATGTCGGCACATGGTTTGTCGTACAACCTCGCGGTATTTGCTACGGACAAACCCTGTGGTGCTATCTATTTTCACATGCTCCAAGTCACTGTTCCTTTCGATTTCAATAGATGTCAGCACATGGTTTGTCGTACAACCTCGCGTTCTTTGCTACGGACAAACCCTGTGGTGCCATCTATCCTCGCATGCTCTAAGTCACTGTTCCTTTCGACTTCAATAGATGTCGGCACATGGTTTGTCGTACAACCTCGCGGTATTTGCTACGGACAAACCCTGTGGTGCTATCTATTTTCACATGCTCCAAGTCACTGTTCCTTTCGATTTCAATAGATGTCAGCACATGGTTTGTCATATAACTTTGCATTCAAATCGCTGTGTGAATTTTCTTTCAAATAGTACAAAATTGGCAGTCCTACGTACCTTGTTATTGAATATAAGCTCTTGAATACAAGTTCTTGACAATATTAAAATTTCTTTTTGTTATTGAGCAAGTAGAGACAATGCTAAATTATTGAGTCAGTGCTCGCGAGTTTGTCTCACAGAGACGATCACTTTCTGCAACTCTTAAACGATGCAGTACTGAAGACAACCGCACGATATTAACAGTAATTCGTTTATCACGAATTTGGGCTTTGAAGATTTTTGCATGGACGATCTAGCATACGACATAAATCTTTGATGGCACCAAGTCATGCTACGCGCCTATCACTAGGCAACACTTTACCCACCCTACATCTTTACCCCGCCTCGCTCATTTAAATATCTATACATATACATACATACTTTTAAGACAGATTATAAACTGATTTATAAACGTCATTTATAAGAATTTTATTATAAAAGTATAGCAATACTTTCGTCATTAAGTATATAAGATAGAAACTATTGATATAAAATAAAATGACAAGAAAGGAGGATGGGAGGTGGACAGGATGAGAGTAAATCATTTATAGCACCCGTTACCACATGAATACATTTGTAAATCTTAGACATAATTACAAAACACGGAATATAATGAATTACGATCTTGACATTCTCGTCTAAACAAGACGCATCTTTTGTGTTCTCTTACTCCATTTTCATGCAACAAGCAGTTCTAGAAAAAGAGAATGAAGGAGAAGGTCTGTGAAAGATTGAAGAAAATTTGTTTTGGTTAGTTTATAGTTACTCTTAATAACTAAAAATTGGAAAATATTAAGAATATAATAAGTTCTGCACGAAATCACCATTCCAATTAGTCGCAGAAGTATAAAGTTTTATACTTTCTTTGCAGGCTGTCCTATTTTATGCCTTATAATTTCATAGGGAAACTTAATTTTAATTCAAATCATTGGTACACTGAATCGATAACGTCGCATGGGACATGGAGATAATATAAGGGCTGAAGTAACTTCCAAAACGTGAGACACGAATAAGGATTGAATGTTACGTCTATTCTGTAACTCGTCAGTGATATAGTATACATTTTTAGTTGTTTTTGTACATTTGTTATTATTGTTATAATTAGTTAATATTTTATGCACGCCAGCCGCCTTATGATCCTGCACAAATGCCAGATAGTGGCGTCGCCATACAGAATCCGCTGAAAGCAACTACTTAGTGGCTATTCAAAAATGCGCGGCAAAATGCTGCGCTGTACAACGAGCTTTTTGTACAATTTTTGGTAGTCATCTTCGCGCAAGAAAAATTGTTTCATCTTTGTCGGTCAAGCAACAAACAAATAGCACTTAGAAAAGGATTGATGTTCATAGCTTAATGAAACTATGATATCTGCAATTTACATATGCTCAATGTAGTCTATTAAATTTCCTATTTTAGTTACAATATCTTGTATAAGTGTAGTTGTAAGTAAAGTTAATTTAAAAGTACTATTTATTAAGCAACGAATCTATGTAGGATAAATTATGCTTTATATTATTTATTAGTAAGGGGTTACAAGTAATGAACATTCATTTTAATCAGCTTTTATATATATGACAGCCAAACATTTCATTTTGTAAAAACGCCAAATACAAAATTTTTACGATTTTTGTAAAAATATGGAAATACAGTATCACGAGGAGGATCAAATAAGTCAGATAAATATATTTGTTCTCGTATATATACAAATTGTTCTACAATAATATCAAGGAACAATATACTCATTCAATTGATGATTTTTAGTTGATCTATTCTCATATCACGAATCATTGCGAGTTTGGTTAAGGCCGCCTTTCGAAATTCTTGCCTTCGTATTTACCACTCTTATAATCCTATTTACTATTAATTCCGTCGGTATTGTACATACAGTAAAAGATTGACAACCACATAATATAAGATAGCTCATCGAGAAACAAATGTTAAGTTTGTATAGAATGTGTTCCCCAAAATATGTTAAAAATATTTTCGGCATCGATCCTAACATCGATGACAATAAATGCTACTATAAGTTTGAAGAATTAAAGACAGAATTAACAAGAAAATATAAGTCAAACTAATACAATATATAAGTGTAATAATAATTTATAAATATTTCACGATGCTAACTTTTTTAATAACAAAAGAGTCTTTCTTTTCTCTTTACCTTAGACTGTACAATATTTGAAAGAATGTGTGAGGTCTATCCAGTTGTATTAAACGAATCGTTAAAGTTTAAATTGAAATAATCTTCACTTTAAAAAATATATCAAAGAGCTATAATATTATGGATCGAAACAACAGCAATTTTATTACTGTATATCAAAACCAACAGTATCGTAACGCGTATAATACTTGTTTTTAACCATCAAATTATAGTTACAAAAATATGTATATATTGTTGTATGCAACTCACAAGATTCTTTTATTTCTTTCGACGATACGTTGTCGAAAGAAGTCACGATAATTAAGCGAGTAGTAAATATAACCGTATGGCGTTAAAGCTAGAGGCAGCACTTATCTTTAAAGCTACTTTATTTATTTGTCACTCATACATCATGTTTCCTGCTAATTCGACAAATTCATGTAGATTTCAAATTTTTGTCAATATTATCATTTATATAAACAGGCTTGGCCAATACACGTATTAAAATAATTTCAAAATCCGATAGAAAAGATAAAACTGACAGAGACATACTATCGAACAATCTTAATGAAATTTGCAATTGTTTCAGGACCATTCTATAGTATGTCACAATTTTTTGAACAATGTCGATATTTCCAAGTACATTACAAGCCTATTATGTATACACTAATTCGTAACTTCGTCGAATTTTCGAATTTTCATTTTTCATAAATCTGACATGAATAATTGTAACAAGAGGAAGACCTTAAAAGTTTTTACCGGCACATTAAGGATACAAATTATTAACATGTTTTATCTCACGCATCCTTTCGGAATATACATAATCTCTATTTACGCGAATATTTTACAAATCTAAGATCGAAAATACGATACAGTAGTAAATTTCAACGTTGTTATATACAGAGTGATAATCCAAGAAATATTGGCTCCCCTTGCACGGAATAAATATATCTCTAAGACGATTACGGTTTCTTAATCATTTCGAATGAACAAAAGCCGTATATCTTCTAGGTTTATAGCTTTTGGCGAAACACGTTAAAACGGATATCAAAGTAACATGATTTCGCATCTCAAAGCTTCCAAAATATTTATGCAACGAAATATTCATATCGATAATACAATACTTTAGGTATTATCCCACCTCATCACCGTTTGCAAAAATATTTCCTTACAATTAAACGCTTATATTTATGTTTCTTGTCATTAGTGCTGCTTTCTTCTTCCCTATTTACCACCTACCTAACGATAATAGTCCTATGTGATGGTTAATAATACATTTTGACCGGAAGCAACGCTAATTTACCAGCGACTGCAAATGGCACGACTCTTTCAGCAGCCGCGCAACGCAAAAGCGCTTCTATTTACCGTTCCGTTACATATTTAAGCAAACCCCATTCTCAGAGAAAGTACGTTGCTCCTCCATCAGCAACTCTACACCGTCTAACACTTCTTTAATATTCACAGATATCTACCATTATTTAAAATAACTCGAATTATTTGTGCGATAATAGTATTTAGAGAAGATGAACACAAGTGATGTGTCAGATCATTCCATAAGTTGTATTGTCACTAAATTAATTTTTAGGAGAACAGCTGATATTCGTTTATATGCGCTATTTGCTTCAAATTTCCTGAATAGTAAAATATTCTTAGAACATTTTGGCCGTAAAAAGGAAGACTTGTATCGTAATAGAACATTAAGAATCATTGGGAATCAATAGTTAAAAAAGGCTTACAATCACGATAATTAGTATTAAAGATCATGTTCCAAAATATTCATTACATTTAGATTTCATAAAAGAGAAGGTTTTTGTTCTGTTAGAATGTAAAAAACTTTTAGAAGCTAATAGTTAGGAAGGAATAATAGAAAAGAAGGTTGCAATCACGATAATTGATATTAAAAATCATCTTCCAAAATGTTCATTGCTTATGGAACAATCTAATAGTTGTATTGCACGACAGACATTATTCTTTTTATTAAATCGTCCGGTATAACGCCATTGTTTAGACTAATTGCAACAATATCATCCCGACAGTAACGATAAATAACGTAATTACAGGAAAAGTATGGGAATGAATCAAAGATGCGCAAGAACTTCGACAGCTGCTACTGGAGGTGTTTGATCACCACTCAAAATGACTGGTTCTGATTCTGTCTGAACGATCCTGACCAGATTCGCGTCCTTCTTCGATGGCGTGACATTCGTGTTCGATGCAATGTTCGATCTAGTGCAATAGCTCGGCGGTCTGCTTTCTCTAGTCGTGCCAGGAGTCACAATGCTTCCAGCGTTGGATCTGTAGGTCGGCGGAGGTGAGGACGTTGGCTGCAGTCGATCCAGAAGGAGCAGTCGAAGCCTGTATTCTTGCATACTCGCCTGGAATTAAACACATCATGTTTAAGTTCTCTATTTTCTATGGTGTTTGTAGACTGCGGATTTTTATACGTTTATAATAAATTTAAAGATGTAAAAATCTACAAATTTCGTATAATACATAAAAATATACAAAATATCCAAAATGGTATATTTTTATAATTTTTAATGCATGAAACAAATTTCTATGTAGGTTTCAGTTCCAAATATATGAAATTTCATAAAAATCTGCAGTATAGTTATCCGTAATAGATTTTTGAGTTTCATGTAAAACGATAGTATCCAATCTATAATGTATTATTAGGGAAACGATTGATTAATGTGAAAAATAACAATTTAAAACATATAGTAAATGTTATAGGAAAAACATAATAGCAAAAGTCAAATGTTGCAGAATAATAATTAGTTAACAGTTGAACGTTTCAGAATCATAGTGATCTGTGATGATATCATAGTTCATAAAATACAATTTTGCTATTATTATTAGAAAAAGTTCATTATATTTCTTCGCTCAGTAAAAAAGAAAAACAAAGAAGATGGGAAATGAAGACGTTTCATAAATGGGTAACATAAATCTAATTTGAAAAGAAGATAGGGAACATCTGTTGGAAATCGATCAAGCGCGCAAGTAGTAGAAGACAATTTTAGGGTGTCACCTGATAACTCGGAGGTGGCGTTCTAAATTGGAATTCCGGATAAATCATGGCAGCGTACGGATGAATTGGCCTCGCCGGCGGGATCCTGCTCGAGATCCCCGTGAAACCAAAGAAACTACCACAATTTTCTTGACTGGTCACTCGCCACGCTACAGCGCTCACAGTTACCAGAATCACTCCTATACCTGAAACAGAATACATATATCGTCTCAAAATATACTCTTCTTACCGAAACTAAATGTTTGTCTAATTATTTCGAATACTAAAAGTTTGTTAAATGTCTTTATTTTATAAATCATCTAAACATATATAACGACATCGATCTCGGTTATTTTTGTATAACATTAGCAAAGAAGCATTGGTTAACTAAAGGCTTGATTAAAATCACAATTGAATAAATTATTTTATTATAATCATGACAGTCTTTTTAGTAACTAAGCAACGAAGAATTTAATCCAGCTATTGAATTCAGTTATACATACATATGTAGTGAACATGATCGATCGTGTCTTTAGATTAACGTAATTTTTTTATATCGAGCTTCGCTGAAACCGGTTTGTTTAACATAATATATTTCTATGTGTATTGCAGAACATAAATTATTAATCCTGAACACTGATCGATGTATTGTAGAAGCACTCGGAAATGGATGCGCTTTACAAAAAAAGCGCTCATTTTCACTGTGTAAAATAGATTCCTCTTACATCAAAAATCAATTTAGTAAAAACATAAAGACGCAGACTCGCTGCTGGTAGCTACGAAAATTTATAACTACAACAGAAGTGTGAACAGTCTCTAATAATTTATCTCGCTGGATATAAATGACACGCGATAAAATCGAAATATCGAAATATCGAAAAAATATCGAAATATGAAGCGTGACTCGAACCGCAAAGAATTAGGCAATGGACGAACACGAAGGATGACAACAAAAAAAGAACGAGGGTCAGAAGAAGGAGGTTTAATCAAGTTACGAGTATACGAACGAGTGAAAAGTCGAGTGAAATGCAACGGGCAGGAAAAGCAAAGATGACGTTGGTCGTTAAACATTGTCGCGTGTTCTCACGAGTCGTGGCATGTGAAAATAGTGAGAGCTAAGAAAACATCCTTGGAGGAAACGAATGATCCAAGCTTTCGCGGTTCCACACCCAGCCGCGCTTCCCTCGCGGCCATCGAAATATCTTTTCCACTCTTTTCGTCTTAATCCTTGTAATTTCTTAACTCGACCCTGCAATCTTCTTTCGTCTCGCTCGACTTATACAGCACTTTACTACTCGCATTTCCTACCATTTGCATTTAAAATTTTATTTTCTCTTCGATACGTGGCTTCCAGGCATTTACTTTTTTAATTAGATACGCTACCCTATAGTGTTCATAAATGCATATATAGGGTGGCTCTATCTAACTTTATCACCTGGAATATCTCGTTTGTTTTTGATAACGTTAAAAAATATCGTTTAAAAATCGGATACAGGTAGAATGGTTTCGAGATGGACTTAATTTCGCGTGTGATTAGGTTTTCATAGTTACATAGTCACCGATGTGTTCCTAAGTGGAATTATATATTTTTTAATAGATCCATCTTGGCATTCCCTATAAAAAAATTGTATCAGACTACTTATTATGTCGAAGAAACATAAAGTTTCGTAGATATTGCTGACTTTAGTTCGTGGAATTTGACGTAAAATACCGCTTTGTGTCTTTTCTTATATTTCGTACGTTGAATCTGACAAATTGAAGTTAAAGTATGTTTTATAAAATTCTTTATTGTATTTCGTACGTTGAATTTAACAAATTGAAATTAAAATATCCGGCAAAGTAATAGATCTTCGACATAGATTGGTTAATATCTTTTTGCAGAGAATGCCCAGCTGCACCGATTAACGTATTAAAAAATATATGATTTCGTTTGATAAAAGAAACGTCTATGACCATCGTATGTTCTCTATGCGTTCTACGAAAAAATTAAACGTGTCAAATTACGTTCCTCTCGAGGCCGCTCAACTTGTATATACTTTTCAACATTTGAGATATTTTTCGACATTTTTTAATATTATCGATATCAGACATTTTTCAATATCATCGATATCCGACATTCCTCAACATCATCGATATCAGACTTCTTTCAATATCACCGATATTAAACATTTTTTAATATTCATCAATTCATACCAAATGTCAAGCGCCCGAATATACCTGTAATTACTGCTGTCACTCTGAAAATCCATTAGTCCGGGAAATATATTAATTCCAATATCAATTGATCGACGACCTCGTCGAATGACAATATTCGACCAAACAAACTTTTAAAACTGTATACTACATTGTACATCTACGTACCCATTATGAACGAAACTATGCGTCTAACTAAATAACCGAACAAAAAATCCATATTGTTCCACTTTCCGATATCAAATTCATTTAGTGGCTGAACGAAAAAATTCCACGGAAGCGTAACGAATAATAATCGTGATCTCGTTGAAACAGTTAACAAATCGATTCCCACGGCGGTGAGCCACGGTGATGAGCCACGTTGCTAAATTAGCACGATTAGATTAAGATAAATTTCACGGTCTAACGAATTTTCATCAACGTACGGGATTTGGATAAAGTACGCGAATACGATATATAGTGCCTTGCGAAAATGAAATTTTATGGCGTAGTATGTTCCCATCTACGTATTCAGGTTCCTAGTATCTGTTAGTTATCGATATAAAATTCGGGTAGCAGTCGGCGTGTTAAAGATGAGAAAGCAACGGAGAAGAAACGAGGTAATAAAGAAAGAATGTTAATGGCGCATAGAGAATTGAGGGAAGATGTTGTGAAACAGGGGACAAAAATATAAAGAAAAATATACAGCACGTTTCATTTTTATCCCACCAAACGGTTTCGGCATATTTCACGATTAAGAATGAGGAAAGAAGGTTACATAGACATAGGATCAAAATTATAGACGACTGGTTTCTCGTTTGATTTATGCTGCCTTCGGTGAAATACGAGAAAATCAAAATGAAATTCAGATGGCAGTAGAATCGATTTATCAACGATGGCAATTTACGAGCATGGTCGACACTTTGAAGAAGAACTTCGGTAAACACGAGCAATCGATCGATCGAGAATCCAGTCATTTATCGTGTTATTTTTATCGTGACTTTCTACTAATGAAGCATTTACGACCCTGCATTTGTATAACGTTTTCGTTTTGCTTTTAATCGTTCTGACACAGGATTAGCAAGATAAAAATGAAACGCTCTGTATAAATGTATAAAAAATATATATTTTTTGTACGTATTATTGTTGAAAATGACAACGTGAGTTCGTGCTAGCCATCCATATGCAGATGCGTTAGTTATAAGAAATAGTAACTAGAGGATGATCCTAGTTACAATCGATAGATTTAATCGATAGGCTTAAGATGCCTCTTTTGTTTCTATCCCTAGTTTTTGTAAGCGCGTGCAATAAAGGCTTTTTTGGCTCGGAACGGTGTGATAGATTTATCCATTCAATAAAATAATAACTATTCTGATCTTACCTCTGAGTATAGAAATAACAACAATTATATTATTGTACTATTTATCATATTATTACATGTACTAGATTGTCCCAAAAGCGTATTTCACTATCTGCACGCAGTTGCTTTACCTGGCAATGTTTCTACAAACGTGAAACCTAACCTGCCAAATGTACATAGTGCAGTGTAATAGAACAAAAAGGATCATACATAATTCAATAAAATAACATAAAACAAAAATGTTGTGCATCTATTATTTCCTTATAAAACGAAAGAGACATTTCGGACTACCTAATATATTATGTAATATATTATACAAAATATATTATACATGAAACATTCGCGGAGAAGTCAGAAGAAAAGCACCAGGAAATAAGAAAGATATGTTAAAGGCACATGGAGGATCGAGGGAGGAAGTTGCGAAATACGAAGTAAAAATATAAAAATATACAAAGAATATGTAAGGTATATAAAATTCGCGCGACAGTAAACGCGTTGAAGGTGAAAAAAGAAAACACGAGCGACCAGAAAAAAGAGATGTTAGAGGAACACGGAGGATCGAAGAAAGAAGTTATGAAATACGGAGCAGCGGCAACGAGAAACCGCAAGGGACCCGTTGGTCGACCAGATCGACCGATCGTAGCGCTATACGAAAGAAGGGAGAACCGTGCTGGCAACTGGTTACTTTCTAAACGTGGGCATGTAACCTGCGACCCGCATAGAATGCCTCTCACAATGGGAGAACGCGCTAACCTACAGGGATCGTACGCCTACACTACACGTGGAGGGACCGTGAGATTCGCGGAACATAAAATTGAGAAATCTCCAGAGAAACGGATCGATGCGATGCGATGGTCTCGTAAAATGTTCTTAACTCGTCAGCTACCACGCTACCCATTTACGGGACCATAAGATCGAATTTGTACGAATTTCATGAAATCGAGCGGAGATTCTTTTTAACTCAAAAAATATATGATGTACGATATTTCGTGTTTCAAAAGTCTTTTTTTTTCATAGAATCTCGATTTATGGAAAACCACTGTCGAGGAAAGATTAATCAATATTCTCGAGTGGAGATTCTTCTTTACTCGCGTATATTAAAAGCAGTATATTTTTTTTAATTTATAGAGTACCAATATACATAGAAAATCAAGATCTGAAGATTCTTTTTAACTCGCGAAACATATACGTACAAATGTTTCGTGTTTTAAAAATATTTCTCTTTTGTAATTCATAGAAAAGCAATATTCATAGGAAATCAGTAGGAAACGTTTATGGTATACGTTAAAAATTAGAAATCAACGAATTATTGCCATTAATGATATCCATACCGTTGATACTATTAATTAGTTAAAATATTCTATCTAGTATTTTGTTCATTTTTTAATACATCTCGCACGTATTTCAAGCGTGTTACAACACAGAATAATTCAGCTCGCTGTTAGAAGAACATCAAAACTTATAAATATAATATTTCAGTAATTTAATCCGTCCAAAATTTAGTAAGAGTAGATATTCTGGATATCTCTAGATTTCCCGTTGTGAAAGTGTTGAACCAATTTCACACGATAGTACCCGGGCTATGAGGATAGAGATTGCTTACTTTCTTCGATTCAATGGCATTAACGAACCGTTAAATCCAATGGGTTTATTAAGTGGGTATTGAGCCGAGCTGAATTTCGTGTTACGCGAAAACGCAATGGAATTCGAAACCTTGTTATTGTAGAAAATAAAACGGCAAGACAGAACTTAGATAAATACATTTCCTTATGTAAATATTAAGGGTCAAATAATTTAGTCCCATACAAAATATAATTGGGCCAGATTACTAAAAAAATGTTCCACAAATGAGATAAATATAGGAAATGATGCATGACATCAGCTTAATTCCATATGCCATAAATATCCTAATGCTAATGCTAGCCTTTTTAATACTGAATGTATTCGTTAATGTATTATAAATATAGTATTTGATCTTACGGCACTGTTCAATTTTTATTTCAAATATCTTCTTATACAGCAAGTAGCTTGTTAATTATTTGACAAATTAAAAAATTCGCTGTGTATGAATAAAAGTTTATAGCTTCATGGTGCGTCCAATCGTATTCAATAAATCTTGTGAATAGTATTTTTAACAAATATTGTCGCGTACTTCGCGACCTAACAAATATTTTTATTAAATTTGTCTATATATCTTCCACGAGATTATCCACTTTTACTTTTAACATGAAATGAACTTCCTCGCAGATGTGTTATGCAAAGCATTGAGAATATTCCGTAATAAGAGAATAATACTCGCTTCTTTCCATACGCTTCATTCCCTAAGAAAACTTTTCTCTATTGTAAACAATTTTTTTTATTGGGAAATATCTCTTTATATCCCATTCAATCTTTATACTTGAAAAGAGATTCGAAGATTAGAGTTGGGAAAATGATGAAAGATTTTCCAAGTCTTATTTGACCATGTATTCTCCGGAACAGATGTCCTTCTTCGGTATCGTTACACCAGGCTTAGAACAACGTGACACGAATACACGAAATACACCTGTCGAAGCAATTGTTTGATAATAATAACATTAAATTTGTGAACAAGTACAAACTACGATGTTTCTTAGGAACGAAGACAAACTTTCGTGCCTATTATTCGAATAAATTATATGCTTGCTGTTTCATCGCAGTCTTGTGCGATTCTTTTCTATCTTTCAACTATGACTGTATATAATTCCTAAAGGTATAATATTTAAATAGTTTCAAGGGAATTCGTGAACAATAACGCTCTTAAAAACAGTATTTAAGTAATCTCAAGAGATAATGACACAGTAGCATCCATACTTAAACATTTATCAAACCTAATCTGGAGTACTTTGCAGTCTATCTAATGTATCAACAAAAAGATTTTATCAACATACAAGATAAATATTATTTGCTTATCCTGATGATAACACTGTACTGTACTGTAGAATAAACGTAGAATGGAAGATTAGATAGTACTAAACTTTTGTACGATAATGTATGCATGTTCTCTTTGGCTATTATTCAGTTCTTTACCGAAACGGAATGTACTTTGTGAAAAGACTAGTTGGAGCAGACAAAGAGCGAAGGATTCTTTTGTACTAAAATATGCGATATTTAAAACCGCTGGAAATCATCGGTCGACTGAGGCCCAAAAGATATAAAGCATTGTGAATATAGCTTCCAGTATTCCCTAGCCACCAATGATAAAAATAATGAAAAGTAACGGGAAGCTTAAATATTTATTTAACGTCTTTAATATTAAAATTATTTTCTAATTCCTCTCGAATCTTTTAAGTAAATTTCCCAAGTAAGTTGTCAGAATTATCTAAAATAATCTAGTTGTAATTAAACGCTTTCTACATAAGAGAATTCTCCTTAGTAACAGTGTTATTTAATAAACAACTCTACCTAAGTCTTTTTCTTACACATACAAGATTTTCCTTCTAAAAAATACCTATCAAATATTCTTTATAACAATAAACATAAAATACAAAACAGAGTAAACTTTGTTAGAACGTGCCAATAAATGTAAGGACTAGATATACAAATACTCATAGATGACAGTACATACAAAAATATAACATATACAATGCATAAATTTATACATTATATAAAAATATACGTGTGTATAAATTTAAATGCCTGTACAAATCAAACAGATGCGAAAAGATCATTCTAAATTCAAGCATCTTTCAGGAGAATACAGTAGCTACAAAAAGTGCCTTCTTATCAGATTCTATACGTTCCACTTTCACAGTATCAAATTTTTGTAGTCATATGCAAGTGCTATTAGATCCTACAAAATGTAATACGCTTGAACCTAATTAATTAATCCTGTAAATACTACAACAAGTGCAATAGAGTTCTGTTGTCACTGTATACAAATATACAAACGTAAAAATTGATCGTCAGGTAATAAATCAAGTGACATGAGAAAAGTATGATTCGTTACCGATCATAAGCAGCGCGACAGCGATGTGATCGCGACCAGAAGCCCTGAGGGCCCCCAGCAGAGCACCAGCACCCGCGCACACCAGGCCAACCACTCCGACACCCAGTATGGACCAACGTACAGGAGGGGAACCGAGGCCACAACACTGCTTCGGTACTGCATCCCTGCAAGACAAGAACCAACCGTTGGAATGACCCACTGACACGTAAGTTTACTCCTGGTAAGTTGGCAAGTCGCTCGACACGCTTGTCTTCTACTATGCTTGGCTTACGCTCCGCTACGATCGTCATACAGCCAGCTATGTCCATCTTCTCATCTACCAAACTAATTTTTATCTGTTATTTGACCAGCTAGCTGTTTTTGACGAGTAAATGACGAAATAATTCGTCGTGAAGAAATGGCAATATTTTGCGTTATGACGAGCTCTGTCAGTGATAAAATTAAAAATAAGACAGTCATTTCGTTACAACTTAATCCTATATTATAACAGTCACGCATATGCTATGTTTGACGAGTATAGTCGTCGTCGCTTACTTTTTGCGACGCATTTTAGGTACACAATTTTCAGAGAGGTCGCAACGGCTGACAGTTTTATGAATAACACGCGAATGTTCCAATTAACAATTATGTAAATACATTGGATGACAGTGACGAGGTCTTATATTCGTAAAAGCAAGTGAAATTTGAATATACGTATACACATGTGCTTATCAGATCGCTGTGTAACTTTATGAAAGCGTAAAATTTATTAAATGAAACAAATTTATTGAAATTACCAATACCTATATAAGATTTTGCCGAATTAGATATATATAAATTACATCAAACTTTATAATGAAATTATTACATGAGATTATACAAATTGTTAATTTTATAACACAGTGCATGCTATACGTTACATTTTATTTTATATACAGGGTGGTTGGTAACTGGTGGTACAAGCGGAAAGGGGGTGATTCTACGCGAAAAAAGAAGTCGAAAATATAGAATACAAATTTTTCGTTCGAGGCTTTGTTTTCGAGAAAATCGACTTTGAATTTTCGCTCGGTACGCCTGCACTTATCACGTCTCGTTATAACGGATCTCACTGTAGATTTTTAAAAAAATTAAAAAAAGAAATTTTATTCTATATTTTCGACTTCTTTTTTCGCGTAGAATCACCCCCTTTCCTCTTGTACCGCCAGTTACCAATCACCCTGTACATAAGTGTTGAAAATGACAACGTGAGTTCGTGCTCGCCATCTATATGCAGATGCGTTAGTTATAAGAAATAGTAACTAGACGATGATCCTAGTTACAATCGATAGATTTAATCGATAGGCTTTTAAGATGCTTTCTCGTTTTTATCCCTAGTTTTTGTAAGTTCGTGCAATAAAGGCTTTTTTGGCTCGGAACGGCGCGTACAATAAAGGTTTTTTGGCTCGGAACTGTGTAATAGATTTATCCATTCGATAAAATAATAACTATTCTGATCTTACCTCTGAGTATAGAAATAACAACAATAAGAATAGCATATGGTACAATGAAATTATTAATAAAGGATCCTACAAATGTCGATATGAACAGTGACGCTATAGCCTAAAGAAGACTGCAGAAGATACTTGTTGTTACCCTAGTAGCTAGTCTCTAGAAAGGTTTCTTGCGTCTGAAATGGCTACTGTCCATGTAAAATGTAAGACATTTACTTAACACTTTACGTGTTTTAACTTCGTCATAGTGCAACGGACATAGCAAAAAACATTCGTTTCACACTTGGCGAAAGTGCTGCGACTGTTCGTACTTGTTATCAATGGATTGCAAAGTTGTCTGCCGTGACAGGCTTAAAGTATATAGGCGAGAAACATACAACTAATTATTTGTAACATTGGATGTAGACTCGCACTACCGACCACAAGTATTATGATAGGACATTTTACCAGCCATTTATTTTATTTATGGGCGAAAACTCTAACAAATTTTACTTTATGCTGTGTATATGTAAAATGACGAAATATCAGATTTGTAATAAAATAGCGAGAATTATAATAAATGGTGCAATACCCGTGGCCGGCAATGTGAAATTCACAATTCATCAATGTATTAACAAACTGTCAAAAATAATGACAGAAATGTGTGTAAAAGATATAAATAAGCCATATGTACATGGTTTACTTATCTATATGAATATCAATGCGTAACAATGTAAATATCTATATAAACTATTCTGGTAGAATCGTAGAAAACGTTCTACATATAGCGAAAACGTACATAGCAATCTAACATTACACAAGTTGTACAAGTTATACAGGTTGTCTTCCGCAACCGGTTAGGAGCGGCAGTTTTGTTACTAATTTTAAAAGCTAAAGTATCAAAAATTGCCAAACGATAGTGAAAGCAATCAATTTCAAGATCTAAACTCTATTTTACTCCTTTTTCCAGTCGTAAGAACTGGTTAATCACATAGTGGGAGATGAATACATTGATTGCTATGAATCAAGTTAAATTGGGTTCGCTAGGATAATTTTACGATACCAGTAACATATATATTTAGAAGATGCTGATGTAATCTATACGATCTCCTGTTCAATAAAAAACACGCCACAAATATTCAAAAGTAAAACTGAATGATAAATATATTCTTCACAAACTGTTACATGCCCGGTTTGTATGTATAATACATAGACAAAACATCAATGCAATATTCACCATAGAGGAATCCTTTGAGATAGTAATTGGTATTAGAGTACGATTATTCAAATAAATATTTTCATTTTCCTTCCTCTATGATTAATTTTGCATAATTGTTTTTCCTTTCGGTTAAGATCCGCTTTCATTAGAGTTCACTCATCGAGTTATTTTTAGTTTTAAGTTTAGCAACAAGTTACTATTAATGTAAAAAAAACAATATTCATTACGTGATTTATAAATATTTATGCTCTCGCTATACCATCACAAACTTAAATAATTTTTTTAATCCACGACGATGCTAATAATTTGCCACCAATCGAGAATATACAAAACCATAACAAATTAAAAAAAATCTATTCAATCCATTGCATTAAAAGATAGTAAAATTTTGCCCTTTCATATGTTTCTCATAAACTTACGATTTACAAAAAATATACTGGAAAATAATAATATGTACAAGCTGTATACATGTGTTTAAAGCTTATGAAATATGTATTTGTATTTACATATATGTGAACGTAACTTTAGAACGACTCGAACAATAATTGACAAACGATGTTTACGCAACATCAGGAAAAAGATGAAACGTTAGTTTTCAGATGAAACTATATAACGTTCGATTGCGGAAACATATTTTTATGATTCCTTTGACGTCAAAAAATAAATAAGCAAGTATAATTTTATACGATGATCGAACGAGCGTCCAGAGTTCAAAGGGACGTTGTAATATACATAGGAATGTAAAAACGGGGCGAGACTCGTGCGATAAGCATCGAAGAACGTACTTGAAAACGTTTCAAAAAGAAACGTTCGTAATGGAGCAGCAAAGTGCACAAAGTCGTGTATCAGAAGCGTTCGCACATTGTCAAAAGCAACCACGAGAAGAATTCACGAGTGGCAGACGGTAGACAAAACCGTCGTCTGTTTCACTAATGTACGAATCTGATTGCTTTTCCAAACTCATTTTCTACGCTTACATATTTTAATCTTTCTATAAGATTTATCCTATATACACACAATTATGAAATATCAGCATTGATTTGTCCAGAATTTAGAAAGCCTGCAACGTTTTTAAAACAAATAGTTAAAAACGCTCTTACGAGATATTGGTGTATTATACACGATACTATTATGAGGAATTATATATGTAACATTACGGTGAAAATATACAAAATTATAGAAAATCAAAATCCTGTGTCTCATTATGCGTGTTAAAATTCAATTATTCAAACAATATTCATCAACTTTCAAGAACCTTCGAGTAACAATGAATGTTGAATTTTAAAAAATGAGATGTGTAGAACAGAAATTGAAGATGCTGCCGATATTCCTTTGCTTTCCTGAGAATATGATAGACATGGGGGAAGATCGTTTTCCAAGAGAAGGAAAATATTTTCACGTCTGCCATGTAGAAACGAACTGGAATGTTCACCGAACATCGGGACAGTGCGCAACGTACTAATAATAATACTATCGAAACCTGAAGAACCACAAATATTCATCGGCATTTATCAGCTTTCAAAGTTGTTCGAATAATTCTGAGCAATATAATACGAAACGAATATACATTTGTATATTTACCGTCCAAAAGCAGAGACGCTGGTAGAGACCGGAAACGGTAGTCCAAGACTAAGACCCCTAAGGCCCAAATGGGGCGGTGGAAGATGTAGAAATCCTCTGGTAGGGGTAACCAAAGGTACACCCGGTGCTGTAGAGGAAGCCTGACATCCCGTCGACGTCCCAGGATAAGATGGTGGCATCGAGCATGATCTCAAGGCTCGACGATGTTGCCTTCGCAATCGCCTCTCTCTTCGACGAGCACCGCGAACGCCGTCGAGATCCTCCAACGCCTCTGGACCATTTTGCAGCGGTAGCTCCGTTTGTGCCTCCGTTGAAGTGAAAGACCGCGCATTGTCCCGCGACTCCTGCAAAGTTCACGGAAACATTCAAATTATTCATCTTCTTTATTCTCCTTGCGAATTCTACTCTTCCATTATTCCAAGTGTGCAACGTTACTTTCAGGATTTTTAACAGAATGTATGATTTTGTTTATGGAGAAGAGACGCGACAGGGATTATCAATGGCTAGACGAAAATTAGAGAATTATGGGTTGCGCTTAGATTGCGAATGTTCAGGCGTTTAAAGGAAAATTCAGAAATGTACAAATGAACGTAATACATGGCGTAATGGCAAAAGTATATAAATATATGAAGCATCCAAAGTAGAGTGGACGTTATGATATTTAGCGAAACAGACGGTTTGCTATTTGGTTTTATTTCTTAGTTGCAAAATATGCATTTGCGTATTAAATATTCACGATCTAGTTATAATAACGTCCTGACCTACCAATGAGTTTATTCGTGTGTTTTACTTTGTAATTTATCTATATTTGTTGGCATGAAAGTAAAATCTATTATATACTGTCTTTCGCTATTCAATGCGTGATATTTACTATCTTTCACGTTTCCAGTAACTTCAAAGACGTGGCTTTCTATTTAAAAAAAAGATTTTCCTAGCCCATTATCCATTTTTCTCCGCTAATTAGAGGAAAATACGACTAGCTGTGCGAATTCGCGATAATAATCTGAATTTTCACCTGTGCGCATAATACGGCATCCTGCATTTGTGACAGCCGGCGCACTCGAAATTGTTCCTTTTGCTATTCTATATCTACTGCACTTTCGCGCGTTCTCTCCCATTCTAATCACGATTTCGTGATTTCCGTTCCTTATTACTTACTACGTAATCACTCACTTTTAACCTTTAAAATACACACGTATACGGGGTGACAACGAAATAGGTGGTCGAACAATCTCGTTACATTAAAATATCAAAAAGTCTGCTCATAGAGGTAATCAGTCTCTTAAAGATGATAAATTAATAGAAAGAAAGAGAGAGAGAGAGAGAGTATAACGATAAAAAGATCTTTCTCCTTATGTAAAGTATTTTCTTTTTATCCATGATGAAATATTGTAAGAATATTAAAAAATTACAGTTTCTAAATTTCTTTCGACTCTAAACACTTTCGAAATGTCTCTCGAATTATTAATCAATCTTTTATTCGATTACGAATATAAGCGGTTATACAACAAATATAAATAGCAAAAATAATTCTAGAAGAGTAATGAACAGCGAAATTATTAGTCCGCGTATTTTTATGCACTTGTGGGAAATTTAATTCGCGGAATGCATGTAATATGCAAAAATATAGCAGCTATTGTTATATTTGGTAGTCAAGCGTAAAAGCCATAAGCATCTGTACGTACAATTGGCAACTAAGTGATTGCGGATTTTGTCATTAGGTGGTACTGACAACCCAACAGATGAATGATAAATCTTGATATGTGTATGGAAAACATACTTTCATGTAGAGATACATATAGATGCAGATATAGTTACGTATATAATATACCACTATATCGCATACGTTAGGATAGATACGTACTAATTATGTCCACAGAAAGAGTTAAGTAATATAATATAACACAATAAAATAGCAATATAATACAGTAACTAAGAACTCGATGTAAGAATGCAATATAGTGTAAGAAACGAAGAATAAGAATGCAACAATCTCCTTGTAATAGCCTATGGATCCAAAGTATAAATAAATTTGTTGTTATTTCTATACTCAGAGGTAGGATCACAATAGTTATTACTTTATTGAATGGATAAATCTATCACACCGTTCCGAGCCAAAAAAGCCTTTATTGCACGAACTTACAAAAACTAGGGATAAAAACGAGAAAGCATCTTAAAAGCCTATCGATTAAATCTATCGATTGTAACTAGGATCATCGTCTAGTTACTATTTCTTATAACTAACGCATCTGCATATAGATGGCGAGCACGAACTCACGTTGTCACTTTCAACAAAATTATTATTATTATTATTATTATATTTGATAATCGAAAGAAATATCTAACTAGATGTTACTCTTTTAGTATTTATAAAAATAAGAATTTATAACTTGGTAACTTTATAACTTTATAACTTAAGAATTAATAACTTGAATATTTTATCCAACTTGTATCTTACTAATTAACACTTTACCCAACGCAAATTAACTAGTTATTACAAACTGTTTATCCATTTCTGAATAAATTTCTTGTTCATTAATCAGTGAATTTTTCAATAAAGTCGCTGTATATGTAAAATTAATGAGAGTTAATGAGATCACGTATCTGGTCTTTTCTCTTCTTTCTTTTCGCTTTTCAGGAACTAGCGACACTATACGGGCAAAAGTACATTAGAGTCTATTACGTTGTGAGTCTTCGACGCGTCAAGCTCGCACGCAAATGATGGAATAATTTGAATAAATATACGTTATGGTGACGCTTCGTGCGAATGAAAAATAGAAATACGGGAAGATATCAACGCGATTAACACGGGAACACGTGGAAACTATAGTCGTCGAGCGCCATAAAACTGGCATGGAAAGTAATATTCAGGGAAATATTCGATACGTATCGGCAATGGTTCGTATTATTGGAAATAAAGGGATGGAAATATATATCTCATAAAATATCTTTATTGAAAACTATGGGGCGCGAAAAATGGTTTAAATAAAAAATTCCACCGTGTCGAGAATTTACACGGGTGAAGCTGGTAAAAATAACAATTTAAGGGATGTTTTCACGAGCCAAAATAAGATGAACGTGACGAATAACAAAGTTAAAAATCTGTTTATTAATTACCGATATTTAATATCGCAATTGCTAACTTGCATAACACTATAAAACATAATATAAGGTATTATAAACAGGAATGTAACCGAAAGCCATCCGAAGGCAAGTGATATGGATCACAAATAAATAAAAAAGTGTATATTAAAATTGAGAAGAATCGGGTGAACATTATAATGTGAGTTGTAATGATTGATGAGATTACAAAGAGTAATCTAAGGTGGGAGGGTGATGGGAGGTTGGAAGCTGCAGTAATTTTAAATAAAATGACACAAAATCCATCCACAGATGACGTTTGCAACCTGAAATTCAAGATCTTTTCACTTTAGGATCCATTCGGATTAATAAAGGAGCCTACACGCGTCCGGTATGCATATGACTCTAATTGTGCTTGAAATGGTTGAATCAATTGATGTCTACATATTTAAGTACATTTACTCTTTTAATTTTTGACCTCAGTATATATATCAGGGCTACATACATGTACGTATTAACGTTTACTATAATACCAATGTATTATATTACATTAACACTTCTTGAAACGTTGCTACCACAGATTAACAATTTATTTATAGGTCCTAGGTCTTACGTTCACGGTTTAAGAATAATTTAGATTCAAGACAATCGAACGTATCCAAAATCAGCAATACATGGATGGAGAAATAAATATAAATATACATTTACACTTCCGAAATAATAACATTTTCTTTTAGATTAATTTGTAATCCAGGTCGCGACGATTGATTACATAAAAACTTCTTTAACTTGCATTCAAAGTACGAGAATATAATTAATCGCATTCCGACCCTAATAGTATCCTAGCGTTTGAAATGTTGCATAAATCCTCTTTCGAATATGTACGTTCGAGGTCGGGTTGCTGAAACCCGTGAGCTAGATCATCGTTTTCTCCTGCAAACGTGCATTGACGAGAAACGCGTTTCAAAAGGTGTTTCGTTCGACTAAAAGTTTTTAGGTGCACATACACTGCCACTCGCAAGTATTAGAACATCTGCTGATACTTAATATAAATTGAATGCTTTTCGCTATTTTTGTTTTCTAGTTATTCTATTGGAAATCATATCTTCCAACGAAGCGTTTTTTAATCAGCGTCTGCATATAATCTTTTTGGTGTCAAATTTTTAGTCATATGAAAGTACTATTAAATCTAATTTGTACGTGAATAATATAGCAAATACAATTATTTGCAGCCACGATATTTGTGCCGTAGAATACTAAATTGAATAAAATTTGTTAAAATTTGTAATAAACGTAAAAAGTTTAACGTGTAACGAGGTTTTAATGGATTTAAATACTTATATATATAAACTAATGTGTATTAATAATATATTATAATACTAATAAATACTTATGACCGATACGTATCTTAAAAAATGTACTTCTATGGTAAATCATAGACATAAACTTCGGTTTTATTATATGTATTAAAACAAGTGTCATTATCGTAATGGAATATTTTGCAAAAAGATTATGTCAAGTTACGAATCTTTTTACCAATAGCCTTTGGTAATAATGCTTTACGGCGTTTCTCTAATTAGGTTGGAAGAAACAAAACGAAGTGTTTGGCGTATCGAAAACCGTAACCGTAACCGCAGCCATAACCGTACCCGTAACTGTAATTATTTCTTCGGTTTCGATTTCCTGAGTCGACATATTTTCAGGAATTATATCTTAACCGCATTACGTCCCTTCGATTCTTACATAATTCTTGACTAGCCGAGTAATTCTAGTTATACGCTTCTTAAATATAGAATACGTGTATTTAATATGATAATACGCGTGTTAACGCTTATTATTTGTTGGTGTACCAGATAGTACTATCAGCTTATCGTATTCGCTATCGAATGACTGTAATCTTCAAATATTTTCGTTCATTATCTCCAAAACAATTGGCTCACCATCCTTATCTCATTCTTAATGACCTTTATTCTTGCTCTACGATCTCTGACAGCGAGTCGCCATGTCCTACATATCCTTTAAAACTTTCTGAATTTGACTATCCTTATCATCCTCGATCCTAGTTCTTCCAAGGCTTTTGAAATCTCCAATACTTTCTACCAAACAGTTTCTCTTGCTTCTAAACGTAAAATCGTGTCAACTATTATTAGTACTATAACCAGTATTGACAAGGAATATTATTATTATATGTTCGATAAATCAGAAAAGTGGTTATTATCTATTAAATATTATTATATTCACACAATTTATGGACTTTATAACCGCTGAGAATTAAAAAATAATTTGTAATGAAACTTCGAGTCTAAAACTTAAGACTATTTTGCTGGAAAAACGTAAAAAAATCAATATAACGTCACTCTCAGACGCTTTTCTTGGAAAAGGAAATAATGGTATTATCCTTGTCCTCCAAGACGCATTGGCGCCGTAGTGGAATTCTACTGAGTTGTTTACGAATATGCTCATTATGACAGGAAATGAATATTCAACGCTGTAAAAATAATACATGCTGGAGAAAATAACGAAGATCAGCAGACTTTCGATAAAAGAAGATCGCGGAAATTGGAATTGTAATACAATCGGCAAAAAAGCAAGTAGCATTTAAATAAATTTTTTACGTGTATCCATAGTATTTCCAGTAGAGAACTCTACCGTTTTATACGTGGATAAATGCAACTTAGCACGTCGCACACAGTTCGAATTCTCAAGTGAAATACGAGTACATACATACATGTGTCGAACTAGTTCCGAAAAACATAACCTAAGTCCGTCTAAAACTATCTTTCTCTTAAAAATATAAAAGCTTTGAATTTTATCTACATTCATCAAACGCGAAGAAAATTATTGTCGAGATCTAATTAATGATATTTTGTATGCAAAAGGAGTGCGATTTAAACAATAGAGGCATTAAAATGTAAAAAATAATAAAATTCTTGTATATTCGTACCCAGTACCAAAGCGTTTAATAGACCAGTAATGGAAGAAAATGAAATATAAATCATCATAGAAAGATCGACAAATCGCATTCCAAGTTTAACACATAACAACGTTACAAATAAAAATATAAAAATAACGATACAAACCTGCGGTCTGCTAAGCTGGTTACTCCTTGCATTGTCAACGGTTGCACCGCCTACCGCGACGACACTGACAGGCCTTGGGGCATTCTCGGACAGAGCCCCGGCCATCGTACGACTCTGAACATCGGACTCCAGGATGTAACGCACCTTCCTTCTTTCTTCTTCAACCTCCCTTACTATCTCATACACTTCATCCAAAACTTCACAGTTCACGCTTCTTTTCTTTCTGTTCCTCCTCTTCTTCCTTTTTTTTCCATCCACGTTCCCGCCTCTCGCTTACCACCACATACGTATATAATACACCTATACGTGCCTTTTTCACTGCACACCTTTCTCTTTCCTCTGTTTCGATCGAGTACTCTTTTACGTACTACGTATCTCTCTTTCCGTTCATTCTACGTGTACTCTTTTCCTCTTTCATCCTCCATTTATCGCTTTTTCTTTATGTCTTTCATACTCTTTCAGAGTTCTGTTTCGTACTCTTCAATCTAACCCCACCACTGATTCACCAATTTTTCCCCACCACCCCCTCTCGCCCTACCACCTAGTAATGCTACCCGCTAGTACAGGTTTAAACGTGTTCTTTATAATTCTACCTTTATTTTTGCCTTACAGACATTTCTCCTGTCCTCTGGCTTTCAACTTCAACTATTCGTGTCCTCGCCTGCCTCTCGTTCCCCATTCGTGCTATACTTTTTCCCACCGCTTGCAACGCTCGCTGACAGTATCTAAAAACCACAACCGCGTGCTTTTGTCCTCCTCTAACGTGTTTCGATCTTTTTCCCCCTAGATGTCGTCTTTTATTTCCCTCGAACGTGTTTCGACTTGAACGCGCGGCTTTGATTAAGATTCTTTTTGCTTCTGCTCTCCTTTTCCCTACACTGCGGATGTCACAGATTTAGAAAGAGAAAATGAATTCGTGTCAATGATACCTTCTTTTTTTTCAATTGTCTGAGTTTCGTAATCCATCGACGATAGAAATGAGTATTACAGTCCATTCGCGTTACCACTCAACCTATATAGAATGTATAGACACCTGTTGTTCCATTCTTCTTCAGATATTTGTCACGAAATAAGGTTTCTCGAATAAGATTATTCGACAAGATAATGTTAAAAGAGCTTTTTCATGGTAAATGTTCGGAGAGAAAGCGATAGAACGACGATTCTTGTTCCTTTTCATTAAATAAGAAATCGCGATATTCGATTTTGTTTCTCCTCCGTGTCACGCGTTTCAAACCTGTAAATAGGAAACGCGCCGTGATATATGTTTTTCTCTCTGAGTTTCATCGTCTCTGTTTTTTTACATGATCTTGACTGTAAATATTGAAAAGTATTCTGGCATTTAATTTATTTGAAAATCGTTCCTCCACGAGATCGATTCGCGTACAAGAATATGCAATGAATTGAGATATTTGCAATTTCTATGTCAATTTCTAATAATTCCAATACCTATTCATCTAATCCAAAGAGATAACGAAGAGCTATTTGGAAGTTATACCACGTTGAAACTTTATTGTTAACGCAAAATTGTGGAATACACTATTTGTCAAGGCACTATCCAATTTTAAACATTAATACTTGCATTAAATATGACAATTTCTCCATCGATTTGAGGAAATCTCCTTTATTTTATTAATTAGATAACCAAACGTGCTGAAGATAATGAACTCCTCAAATAACGTTTGATACTAACCTATGTCAATAATCGTATTGCATGTTGACTTCTAAAAATAAATTGTATCGCGCTATGATATCGCAAACTAACTCTAGTAAATCGTATACTCATCCTAACCTTTCCTATTTATAATTTTATATCTAAACTACGTTCTATTAAAAGTAATCATGCAAATACTTTTTTAGCGTCAATATACGTTAATAACAAGATTATCATATCTCGAAGTATGTGCCATTAAAAAGAATGATCTATAGAAATCGAGGACGATGTTTATTTGATCCGAATGTAAGACCGAATCTAAGTTGCGACAAGATTGCTTTGTTCTCATTTTCTACTTGTTCCTCGCGAGTAGAGCGAAGAACGAATCGACCTCGATATCGTTAACGCTACATGAGCATAAAATTTCCGTAATATAATTTGGTATTTTCTCCGTGATGAGCGTCGACGATGAAACTCGTAACTGACCTGAAACTAACTGTATGGGAACGTTTACGTTGCAAATTATCATCGCGCTCGCTCGCGACCGTTTTGAGAAACGGTACTTCTGGCGCTTGTGTGTTTCTACATCTTCACACGATGATTCACGTGATCTGATAGTACGACAACCCGTAGCCCGAAAATTTGGACGTCATCGAACAAAATTACAAATATTTACGAGTCCGCGCCTTCGCGCGCCATTTTCAAACTTTTGTTTATTTACGAAATGGTGTTCATTGAATATTTCAAATGTTTCGCTCATCTAGGAATGATCATTTATAAAATCATTTATTCAAGAGATATATTTAAAAATCATTTAAGACTTCGATATCAATAAAAGATTGTTCGCGTTAATTTCGTTACAAGCATGTGAAACAGCCTATAATATGGAACATGAAATGGTTTTGGATCTTTATTATCGAAGAAGAGTCAAATTTGACAAAAGAACAAAAATAAAAAGTTTTTAACAAACTACTATTTGACAATTGTTCAAATTTATCTCTCGAACTGTTTTGATTATCGACTATAATATTTCGAAATAGAAATTTTTTCATGAAATTATTTTTTCTGTTTTAAAATCAACGAGAAAGATGCAGTATTTGTGGACAAATAAACGATTGATTACATTCAGCAGAGAAAATTATTGACAGAAAAGTGGATGGTACGCACGCACGTATACACAGTTTTGAAACAACAGATCACATTCGGAGGTGCGTCGAACACTTTCACAGCGAAGACAATGGGAGGATCAGTAATCCTTTAACCTGATTCTTAAATCACTGTAAGTCACTGGGGAAGCCTTGACGATCTGCTTGAAAGAAAAAAGACGCATCTACACGAAACGATCTCGTGGCAACCAGTAGTAGCTATGGAAGGCAGTCGAGTAGAAAGAAGCTATCCTCTACCTCGAAATCACGCGCGGTCACACCTTGCACTAGTTAATTTACCTTTCAGATAACCTGGTCACGTCTGATAAAGTCAATAATTATTGTTTTCCACATATTTACACGCGATTTACATTAATGTCTGTAAACAAAAAATAGGTCGAAACGTGATATCATGATTTCGAAAAGGACAACACTAAAAACGACGCATCTCGAACCGCGATAGCGGCTCCACTGGTGCACAGGCTGTACAACATGTCCTGTAACAAAGTGCGAAACCTCCACCAGCGCGCTCATACAGCTGAGAGTTGAACTCGTCGACTGAGAATACCAATCGTCTCTCAGATCCATTTGAACGTCAGAAAACTTTTACATTGAGCATTAGATTGAGATAAATGCAATAGAGAAAGAGTGGGAATGAGAAGGATTAAGCAAAATGGAAATATTTCTTTCGCTTTTCTTAATCCTCTCTTTAATAGGTGGATTTTTCTATTAACATTTTTTCACTTTTATTATGTCTTTTAATATCTCAAATCCATTAATATAGTTACATATTTTTTTGTAGCATTTTTTTTATTGAATATCGAATAACAAGTAGAGTGCGGATGTCTATGTACTTTTAGATTGTTGTAAATATGATTGAACCTATAGAATGCCAATAGAAATGTTTCATCTATTAAATCTTATAAGCAATCTATTTTGAATATTTTATATATTTTTGTAGAATTTTGCATCTTTAAGTTTCAAAAATGTATAAATATCCGCAATCTAATAACAAGTTAGAACTGAAACAGAGTACGAAATGTAATTATTTGTTAGGGACTTTATATAAAACTGTCACGTTAAACAGTTAACTTTAAAAAAGTTAAAAATTTAATAATTTGGGAAATAAATATAAACTGACAGTAGCTATTGCTCAATGATTTTTATATTGAAGATGCTACAGTTACACAAACATATGACTGCTCAAATATGGCATATACAATTTGCACCTAAATTTTTAAGGAAACTTAACATCTAAGAGTGAGGAAGTTCAGTGTATCTGTGTTTCATGGACTTCTTTACTCTTTCTCTTACAAGTAACATTACTTAGTTCATAAAAATTATATTACTACCTATCTCGCTTAAAATCAAATTTTCCACAGCAGAAAATATTTGATTTTCCATAGCATCACAATGAAATGATATTTCCTTTACTAATTAAAAAATAAATCTTGAATTAAAAAATAAACTTATATTCTATAGAAGAAATAAAAATTATATTTTATAGTAAACGAAATCAAATAATATTTATTATTTCCTATATAGCCTACTTCTTTTTTCCCTACTCCAATCGTCTCTTGCGAAATAATATACGACAGAGATGACATATACATATGATGTTGCATCCTGCTTATGTTATAACAAAAATATGAGAATCTCTGTTTCCTTATATAATGAGAATCTCATACAACAGGATAATTAACAACTTATTTCGGGTATATACCAAAAAACAATGAGAATGGAGTCTGTCAATTAGTTTTATTTAATTATCTCTTTCATCATAGTCGATAAATCAAGTAATGTATTTAACGTGCATTTAAACAAATACAGAAAGTAGGAGAAGGTCTCAAGGACTCGTAAAATGCAATTAGGCGGGTATTAAATTCGCTGAACAAAACTGCAGCGGCGCATACGTTTGTACAAAAACTATGACTAATTTAATACAAATATAAATATAAATATAATTTATATATATATATATCTATATTTATATTTGTACTTATCATTTATATTTATATAATATTTATATATGTATAATATGTATACACCATGTAGAAGCAATGTCTTCAGGAATTCTGAATTAGCTGCCTAAAAATCAGCCAATAATTGAATTCTTTTTAATATTATTGATCATTATCAGCTATCTGTAGAAATGAAGAGGCAATCGCTTAAGAATAGTAGATAATATACGTTTTAACTACTTTAGGAATGCCATGAACTGCTTTAAAGCATATAGTCTAATACATAGTTTCTCAATTTTATTACTCGAATGTATTATTTTAAGTAAACATCTCAGTAGCATATTTTATGCATCTGATCTACATTTTTTACTTACATTGATACTGATAATTAAAATAATACTTTTAGTTAAATAAAGTATTTGTACATCTTTTTATACATAATTTTCTCATCATAGCTTGTTGATACTATATCAATTAAACTTTTGTAAAGTTTCACTTAAAATAATACTTTCAAAGCATCAATGAAATTATTCATAATATTCTTAAAACATTTAATAATCTTCAATTTAAAAATAAATAAATATTAAATAAATTTAATGTTTTAAGTGCATTTTATGCACGAATTACTTTATGCAATATCTAGAAACTTTATTTATTCACTTCTTGATCTCATGAAATCGCTGAATTACAGTATAAAAGTCGGCAGTGTGTGCATTATTACCCTCTATTGTATTTTTCAATGTGTATCATAAAAAAGCAATTATTGTAAATTGATCACACGATCTCACAATTAGTATAAAATGTTTCATTTCCTACCAACATTTACTAGTTACTTCATTTTTTCTCAAATTAACATTTATTTTAGTTAAACACCTGCATCATGATATTACCCTACAGCTTTTATCTTCTTACGTTAATTATTGTTGTAAAAACAATTGTTTAAATAAAATAGTACGCTTCTTATTTTAAATTGTTTTAGAATATTCATGATTTTGTGGTCAATTCATAACTTTAGTGTAAAAGATCAAGCCTAAAACTTAAATAATTAATCATAAATATGAAAACTTACTGAATCTTGATTAATCTTTGGAAGATTTAAAAATGTTCTGTGTTCAAATATATAGGGCAGCACAAATGATTATACTTGTAAAAATAACTTCATGTAAAAACATTTCTAGTAATTAATAAAATATCTAAACGTTATAAGCCAACTAAGTAGTAAATTAAAAATTTGCATTTAAATGCAATAAAAATAAATGCCACATTTATACGTATGTAAATGTATTAAGAGCTTGTGCCACCTTTGATTATTCATATATATGACTTAAAATCAATTTGTTCTCTTGAAATATAATAATATACAATAATAATAAAGAGTAAAAGTAAATAATAATAAATTCATAAATTTGCAGCACCGCAAAACAGTTTCCCTAAGTACACTGCTTAAACTGATATATGTATACCTACTATATATACCTACAGTAGTTAACAAGTCTGCAGGCTACAATAATGTAGCCCCAATATTTAGTTGATTAACCTAGGTTTTAAGTGTGTTTCAAAATCTTGTATATATCCTACCACATTTTCTTTTCTTGTAATGATAGAGCGTAACTGGATTTGAATATTTATAACGAATCATATAGTTAAAAATAAAATATATTAGAATCATGATAGTGAAATTGAATTCATTGCAATTAATTTATGATTTACTTGCGAAACTGATTTGTACAGAGACAGCAATTTGTACTCCTTAAAGAATGTAAAATAAGGAGTATTTTATTAGTAATAACGTCATACAGAAACCTTATATACATTTATGTATGAGAATTCTACGTCCATTTACACATATAAATCGAAAAACCTTTAAAATTTTAATCCAAGTAAGAAGTATGTACTATTTACTTGAATGTACCAAAGATAACTGATATGTTAACAATGACTTAAATTGTACATAAGTTTTAAAGTAGATCACAGACTTTAAAATACTTAAAATTTTAAAAATAAGCCATATATGTATATGAACTCTTATGATTCATAAAGAATCTGGAATTATCATATATAAATGTACATGTGTACATGCATATACAGGATAATTCATATAATCGAATACAAGATACAACTTATTGTTAGCTCAATCGCATGATCCACCTTGTGTGTGAGGACTGCTACATACAATTCTATGCACAAGTCTCAGTACATATCAGTATAATACTTAAATTTGGAGTAAACCTGAACACCTTTTATCGACAAGATTCTACTACGACGATTACTTTGATTTGATACATGTGGATACTTTGCACCCCACATGTTTTTGTGCACCATATAACAATAGTGAGTTACATACGTCACTATATTAGTACGGATAATAAATATAAAATGTTAATTGGCATACAGTGCATATGATTCTGTATTTAAACTGTATAATCTTGAAATTTAATTGGCAGTCAAATGTTTATGTTGATTTTGTTCTCAGTCTTATGAGAACTATTTTTCAAGTTCAAATAATGGAAGATGTAAGTTTTTTCATACAAACTATCGTAAACTCTTATAGAAATTGTACCATAATATAGTCAAAGATATAATTATGCTTCA